TCGTATCAAGATTTTGCTTTCAGAAATTAATCTGAATCAGCTAAAGCAATTGAATCATTTTTTGATAATTTCAAATAAATATGAAAATCCTTGAAATTTTTCTCGAATACGTTGTCTAAAATCGATTAAATTAGAAAAAAAAACAAAATACTTAGAGCATACCAAAAGTAAAGTGGTCCAGGTACTTTTTTTTCTTATAGAAAGTTTGAAAAAAGATTCTTTTTTTATGAACAGATAGACCGTCTTTCGCTCTATCTTTCTATGCTAATTAATCACTATTCAACTAATATCACAATAATAAAACTTCGATAAGAACTGTTTTTGTTGAAAATTAGCTGATACCATTAGATCATTATGGAATGTGACACTTTTGTATTCCACTTTATTATCATCTAATACATTGTATTAAAAAAAAACAAAATATACAAGCACAAGATGCAGTGTGAAAAGCTCTACAATTATAAAAAGATGAGGTAGAAAAAGAATGAATTCATCTTTTACCAAAAAACAATCTCGTTTTCATAACGTCGCAATTTTGTCCATTTTGAAAACAAAAAAGTACAACTATAAAATAAACGATCGTTTATAAATTGTAGAGCTTTTCACATTGTATCTAGTAGTATATTTTGTTTTTTTAATACAACGTATTAGATGATAATAAAATGGAATACAAAAGTGCCATATCCATAATGATCTAATGGTACCAGCTAATTTTCAACAAAAACAATTCTTATCGAAGTTTTATTATTATGATATTAGCTGAATATTGATCAAATAGCATAGAAAAATAGAGCGAAAGACGGTCTATCTTTTCATAAGAAAAGAAAATGTTTTCAAGCTTTCCATAAGAAAAAAAAGTACCTGGATTACTCTACTTTTTGTATGCTCTAAGTATTTATCTTATATTAGAATTTAAAGCAGTTAAAAGAAAAAGCATATTAAAAAATCTTATAACATCATTTTATTTAGTTTCTGTTATTTCTTTAATACGATATATTATAGCATCAACAACACCACTAGCACTATAGAATTTTTCTATCATTGAACTCATATAAATTAAATTAGACATGCATTTTTCAGCTTCAATTGCGTCTAAATATTTCTTATATTAATTTTATTTGAGAGTACTTTATATATCTATTAGATTAATATTAATTTTATTACATTCAAGACCTGATCATTTTTGTAATAATTCAAGCATCAATGATATAGCCTTTGAATTAATTTCAAAAAAAAAAAAAATCTTATTCGATAGTATGTCCAATTTATTAAAATCATTATCTGATATAACTATCAAAGGTTTTCTAAAGTTCAAACAATTAGAATAATTAAAAAAAAAAAAAAGAAAGACCTATTCTAAGAAAATAATCTTAATGTAAATAAGTCTAAGAAGGAAAAGTAATATTTATGAGTCAAAATATGTCTGCAAGAACATTTATATAGAATAGAAGATAAAAATAAATAAATAATAGGCACTTATATTAATAAAAATATATATAAAAGAAAATGTCATATTGAACTTTTTTTTCGCAAAAAATAGAATAAAAGAAAATATCAGGTAAATAAAATTTAGTTATTCAAAATAGAAAGAAAAATTAATTATCAAAAAGCAGTCTAATGACATCTGAATCTATATTCGCTCGTATATAAAAGTACATTTTAAGTACTGCTTCAAATCAAGTATGCTTTTATACTTTACAGTGCCGAAAATATAGTCGTACCTGAATAAGAAAAAAAAAAACAAGCCTTGATAGATTCTAGGTCTTTATTATCAAAATGTATAAACCGTACGAATACTTATTAATATTCTAATAAGTATTGAGAAATGTCACAAGTACATTTATTTTAGTTTAAGAACAAAACATTCTATATAATAGATTAGATAATAAATTGATTGAAATCCTCGATAGAATAAAATCAAATTATCTTCTATATTTTAGTTTATATAACATAACACACGATCTTTTTCGGATTAAAACAAAAATTAGATAAAATGCAAATATTGATTAATATTATTGATCTAAATACATAATTTTCGAAGATAATATTAATGATTTATCTATGAATAAAATAGCATAAATTAATATGATGTGAAGAGAATTTAATTTATGATTGTGTGAGAAGAAATATAAAGGAAACGGAAAATAAAAATTATGTTGAAATATTCTAAGCAGATTCTTTTATATAACATATCAATCAACCAAAAAACACAAAACAATGTGTCATTTTATCAATAGAATAGATCAAGACGCAAAAGAAATTTAATTTGAGATTATTATCTCGAGGAAATAAAGAAAAAAGAAAAAGATGATTCTATATAGAAAAATTTAACCGAAGGGTAAATCAGGTCAAAAACAAATTAAAATAATAAGAATGCAAGGATATGTCTATGGTGAATTTTCCAATTCTTCTCGCCATTCATTTCTATATATTTGAATATTTTGATTTCTCATTTGTTTATTTTTTCCATGTCAATGATCCATTAGTTAATGCACTCGATCAAATGATCAATTTCCTTTACTGTCAAAAGTTTATTTGAATAGAAACTAATTAAACATTAAAGATTTATAATTTCGAATATTAAATAATGATTTATTGTTTTTAATGAATATAATCATTATTATTTTATTGAGAACAAACAAAAAATAAATAATAATTTATTAGTTTTTTAAGAGCAATATTTTACAAATAAAGGGTTATTAAAAAGTATTTAAATTTCTCTCAATGACTTCTTTTTCTATAATAATTTTAAAAAGTCATGACTTATAATCTTGCTTTACCAGTACATTAGATATTCTATTAACAGATAGGCTATTGTTATTTGTTCCGTTTTGATTATTATGTTTGATTTCATATCAATGATATATAAAACAAAGGAAGAACTCAAGTATGATTTCTTTATTGGATCTAATAACTCTTCTATATTCTTCGACATAGTAGAAACGACAATCGCATTGTCGATACGTATCTTACATTTCATATTGCATCTAAAGGATGACATCAATAAACAAAACAAGCACATTGATTGTCTTCTCTCATCATATTTCTTGTCTTTTACAAGGACATATATTCTTTTTTCTTCTTCTTTAGGGAGACCAATACTGATGAAAAACATAAGATTGACACGTCAGAAGAACATAGCCAAGATTTATAAGCGAGACATTGGGATAGAAAACAGAAAGAATTTGACATAGCAAGCAAAAAATTATTGTTATTAGGACATATAAGTTCAGAGACACATCCGAATAGAGTATTGCTTTTCCAACTTAATACTATTGTTTGTATGTTTCTATTGTCTTGTATATCTACTTTTTATGTATAGAATCGAATATATTACATAGAATTATAGATTATTTAATTAATATAGAATAAAACGAGATATTTATTTATTTATTCTCGTAGAATTTTCAGGTGAGAATTTTGATAATAAAATAGAATAATTAATTTATATTTTTATTTTAGACAAATTTTATAATGTCAATCTATCACATAAGTGCAACATGTACATTTACAGGTAATAATTAATTTGACTTTTAATAACAAAAAAAGCTCCATATTTAGATTAAGTTAAATTTCTTTTCTTATATACTTAACATATTTTCACAAGTATTATTATCTCCATCTTGTGAAAATATTCATAAGATGTCGCAAGTCACTCGATATCTCTCCCACTCTCTTTCTTTTTCTCATCATTCTAATATTAATTCAATTAAAATTCTTAATCATCTTTCTTTTTTTTGTTCTTCTCTATTGTTATTTCGTTTCACAGTTGTCTTAGAAAACAATAATGTCAAGACTAAATCAATTTTTTGTAATTAATGTGGGTGCGATCCCCAGTAGACTTTCTTCTTTATTTCTTGTTATCAGTATTGTAAAACAAGAATTTGATATTGATAACAAAAATATTTTCTAAATACATTTCACATATATTAACAAATATATAAACAAAAGCGTATTTGAAAATCAGGAAAACATTTTCTAGAGAGACGTGCATAGTCATTTTTATAGAGTTTGCCATAGTTTATAGATCGCTTATTTACACTCAACGACAGTTATTACTAATATTATCACGAATAAAATGTATCTTCCGTTCCTGAAACTTGTTTTCCGTCGTCAATTATATTATTACACTCGACAAAATTCTAATCGAACAAAGCGAACAAATTCAAAAAAACAAAAAAACAACTTTTGTCATATATTCTATCAATTTGACCAAATTAAGACAAATTCAAATAAAACATATGAAAAAAACAAATTTGAAATTATATAGAAAGACAAAAAACAAAGAAACATTATTGTTCTTTTGTACATGCATAAGTGTGTAATACAATGTTTTTCTCAAAAACATATAACTAAGTTTTTCCTTCCTTTCTCTTTTGCTTATCATTCCATCGATCCAATCGTTTATTACACAAAGTAACAAGCAGCGAAAGAAACAGACAACATGAAGAGAAAAGAAGACGACGTTACTACTGCTAGAGTTGTTGTCATTCTAGTTTTCTCTTTTGTGTGTCGCGCATATAATTAGAAGCGACGCTTCTTGAAAATCGACACATACACACATAAAATTGCTTTTAACTCAAACACTATTCTATCGTTGAATCTTGAACGTCAATATATCTTTTTATCCACTTTCATCATTGTCTATTTTAAGTCCATTTAATAACGAATGATCGACTGGGCTATTATTAGAGAGAGAGAGAGAGTAAAAAAGAAGGAAGGAAAAGAACGAAGAGAGAGAAAGTACTACCATCACGGCCTTCGGTAATTAGAGAACTTTTTGCGCACATGCGCATGTGTGTCTACGATTGAAAACGAGAGAAAGAGAGAGAGAGAGAGAGAGGAAGAGGGAGAGAGACCGAGAGCGAGAGAAAATCGAGTTCGTGTACAAACATCAGTTTGATAAAAAAAAAAAAGAATGTTGATAAATCGCTCTCTACGTCAGCAACAACGACAACAACTTTGATTGACTCACACAAGAAAACATAAATATATAAATGATGTCTCGTCATTCACCTTTACCTCGATTTCGTCGTGATGATGATTCTATTCCGGAACAAAATAATAATTCAAATACACGTGCTACATCAGCATCACCAAATACCTCTCAAATATATCATAATCAACGTTCACAAATTCGTATTCGACGATCAGCTTGTTCAGATTTACAAAATACAACTATACCAGAAGAACGTATATATCATGGTAATCGTCGTCGTGCAAGTTTATTTGTTGGTCGATCAACAAAATTGACAAATGATATAACAAAAATATCTTTAAATAATCATGAATCATCTGAAGGTGATTATATTAAATTATGCCGACAAAGATGTCAATCATTTTATAAATCATTAGCTAATAAAGCATCATCAATTAATATTAAAAAAGATTCATCTCAATTGAATGATCATCAAAATAATAATAATAATAATAATAATAATAATAATAATAATAATAATAATAATGATGATGATGCAGAAGATGTTGATGATGAAATTAATTTTCCAACACCATCAAGAACTAAATATCGATATTCATTACCTGATGCATCACCAGCTGCATTAGCTTTAAGAAATATTCTTAAACGAAATAAAACAACAAAATATCATAATCTTCGAATTGATTTACCTTCACATTCATCACATTCCTTACCATCATCTATATCAACAAATTCTTCTTCAACAATATCAACATTCCGTAATTTTCTTTCTTTAGTTAAATCACCTTCAACAAAATCGATAAATTCAACAACATCACATCATCATTCAAGTTTAACAACATTAACAAATGCAACTGGTGGATCATCAACTACACTTGAGCAAACAACATCATCAATTCCTCCAACTATGCGATGGCATTTTGAAGTAAGCGCACATAGACATAAAATTCACTAGATTGCTAATCATAGAAACAACTGTTACTAGTTGAATGCTCTATTTATGCGGTCTGTATCAATATAAGTAAACACAAGATAATTTAGTCGAATAGTTGCAACAATAAGACACCAAAAAAAAAAGAAGAAGAAGAAGAAATTATAATAATGTCATCAACAAGTCTGTGAAATATTGTCTCAGTAGTCGAGTTAGCTGATTGATACAATAATCTAATACGGCATTTAGTTATATTAAAAGAAAACAATGAATTAGAATAAAAAAAATCTATTAAAATAAACAAATGTAGATTATTTACATTATTATGTTCAGTTGATGATGTTTAACATATGTTCGTTTTTTTTTTCTACACGAGCATTTCCATTTTAGTCTTAGAAGACACCAATATATCGACAAAAACATCTGTTATTCATTGATATATATATATACACATTTATTGTTACATTAATTTCTTCTCTTTTTTCTTATGCTTTTCAAGGAAGATAAATCACAATGGTGTTCATCTGATGGTATTAGTAAGATAATTCTTGGTTCGATTGAATTACATAATTTAACATATGCTGAACATAAACAACTCAAACAAATTGTTTTGCAACGTTTACAATCATCGCAATATGATTTAGGCGTATCCATACATGTGCCCAAAGGTATAATACAAAAAATGAATATGATAGTTTTTGACATTTAAGTGCAAAACATATTCAGTGGGATCTCATGCACGTACAAATAGAGAAAATAGGATTAGAAAAAAAGAGACTCCCGGTTATAATCAAATCAAGTTCTCGTTGATCAAATTTCGTTCTACGTGCATGGCCTTGATTCATAATCGTATAACCCTATGGGGAAAATAGTGTCTTGTTCCGATCTTCTTTTGCTACTCAACTATCTATCAATACTGTAAAAAGGAAAATAAAATAAATTAATCAAAGAGAAATAAAAAATCTTATGACATCGAATAAATACAGGTTAATTAACATAATAAACATACTTTAAAATCTGATATTTAACAAAAAAAAAAGATGATTTTTATCTGGAGACTTTTGTTTTCTACGAAAAGAAAAATCAAAGAGTTATTGTTTATTTATTTTTGTTTTGTTTTTATGTAGAAGAACCGGCAAGAAAACGCAAACATCATTTTATGTTTCGTAGTAAATCAAGTGATAAATCCAAAGAAGCAAAAGGTTTGTTTTTTTTTTCTTATACAGATTAGCATAGAACAGAATATGATCTCTATATTATCTTTATACATATATAGAAATTGAATAAAATAATTTTCTGTTAAGATAAAATAGTTTGTTTACAAGATAATGTCTCTCTATTTTTATTCAAACATGATATACCAAACAGGAATGGGTGGAATCCTTTCCACGGAAAAGGATATGGGCCGAGATAAACACAACTCAGCCTTCTATGTGTGATGTCAACATATTTTTTTTTCAAAAGAGAAACAACTCAATCCTATCATATGTCAACATAACCTTTCATAAACTTTGATAATAAATAGAATCTCTAAAAAAAAATAAATAATTTCTTATTCATTTAAATAATGAAATTTATAGGACCTAGCAAAATCTAATTTTTTGGACTTTTTAAAAAATTACTGCAATACTATCGGCACTAAAAAGTATAATCAACACGAATGTTTTTGTAATAAGTTTTGATAGAAACAACGTAGAGACCTGCGGGTTTCATCATTCAAAGAATTCGCAGCTACTTCTATTTAACAGTTACAAGGGTTTTACTGAGACGTCTGATTTCAGAAATTTGACCTTGGAAGACTTCGAAAGAACTTCAGACAGGAATTATTCATCATACTGATGTTTCTCTTTGGTGTCAAAATGATCTAAGATCACTATTTCAGTATTTCCAAAGTTTTCCCTAAACATCATGATAATCTTGAAACAGTAGTCTCAGGTTGCTTTCAAATTGAGAATAAATATCATTATTCGACTCGCTATGTTGAATAATCATTGTCTAGAGTTCTTTTGGAGAATTCCATGGTCAATTTAATGGAAATCGGGGATCTCTTAAATGGAAGCAGATGCGAAATCTTCGTCAACAACTTATCGGATTGATCAATCAGATTTCGAATTACTTTAATAGTGAAAATTGCAGATCTCTACGTCGTTTCTATTAAAATTTATTACAAAAACACTCGACCAAAACTAGACACAATATTTCTGATCCTATATTCGAAGAGAGCACAAAATCCTGATCATCCTTCATAGTTTTTTGTTTATCTGAGATAGATTCAATCAAACAATCATTTTCACCCGAAATTTTCCTTTCAAATCCAATTTTCCAGTCTGTCAAAGATTACCTAAACTCCTCTAAGGCCATAGTCGGATGGTGCATAATATATTGGTCTTAATTCATAGCTCTTAATTCGTTGAGAACACTTTCAAGGGATATAAAAAATGAATATTTTTTTTTTCGTAAGGGATATCGTATCAATTTATAAGCAATCATTTCGATTTTTAATTTCTATAGACTTCTTTACAAAAAAAAAATGAATAAATATTTTCTCTAATTACTTTTCGATTATTTATTATATTAATTTTTTATTTCAATCATAGATACAAAATCAAATGGAAATGTATTTGGTGTTGCTTTATCACAATGTGTAAATGATGATGATAATCGTCTTCAAGATGATATTATATTTACATCAGTAGCTAATGCTAGTGGAATTGATCGAAAGAATAGTACAGATATAAATGAAAGTCGAGCAAGTCCATCTGGTAGTGTTTCATCAACAAATGATAGTGGATGTTCAGTTTCACCAGCAAGTCCAAGTAGTTTACATGTAAAAATAAACAAAAAAAAAAATTTTTTTTAATTATTTATAAAAAAAAAAAAATTCTATAAAATCATTTAGATATTTGAGACTGATTATGAAACTACAAAATTTCGTTCTGTATCACTTGAAGCATTAGGACCAAATGAAGCCGTTGGTGGAATAAATAGAATGAATACATTAAGATGTTATCCAGCTAAAGTACCTGAATTAATAAAAAATTGTTGTGATTATTTAGAAAAAAATGGTAACAAAAATAAATAAATAAAGATTTATTTTAATTATTAGAAAAATAATTTTGTTTTTTTGTTTTTTTAATTTAAGCATTACAAACTATTGGTTTATTTCGAGTTGGTGTATCGAAAAAACGTTTAAAAGAAGTAAATTAATTATTTCTCTTTTATTAATTAATCAATAAAAAAAAAAAAAAAATCTTTTTAGCTGAAAGATCAAGTAAATTTAAGTCGTAGTTTAACATTTGATTCTTCAACAAATGCACATGATATAGCTGGTTTAATAAAAGAATTTTTACGTGAATTACCTGATCCATTATTAACACGTGATTTATGTGTACCATTTCTAAATATTCGAACAAGTCTGTCTCTGCTTTTTATTATCAAATTTTTTATTAACATGATTTTGTTTTTTTTTTTTGAAAATCTTATGTAGAACTTAATTCAAAAGATCAATCTCGTGCACTTTCCTATTTAATAAGTTTATTACCATCATCAAATCGTGATACATTATATACATTATTAAAATTTCTTTATCATGTTTCAATAAATTCTCAAGATCGTTATTCAACTGATGGAAAACTTCTTGTAGCTGGTAATAAAATGGATGCAGCAAATTTAGCTATTGTTTTTGCACCAACAATACTTATGGATGGTAAAGCACCGGCTGTATCAACTAAAGATATGAGTGTTGCTACATCTGCTGATCAAATGGAACAAGGAAAAAGTATTTTAAAACTTATGATTGAACAATATAAAGAATTATTTACAGTAAGAAAATTAATTTTTATGATAGAAGAGACAAAACAAAAAAAAAACCAAGTATTTTATGATTATTTTTAGGTACCAAAAGATTTACATAATGAAATTTGTATTGCACTTTATGAAAGTGATAGTATGCAATTAATGAGAGCATTAGCATTTAAAGTACAAAATGGTTGTGGGTAAGTTATTTATTATTAAGAATAAACAGTTTATTTAATGTTATATTTATAGAATAAGTTCAATGCAATTAGATGAAGCAAATGAACATTTATTTAAGTCCTTAGATATAACACCAATTTTATTTGAAATACCTTCTTCAACAACTAGTATTTTTTCAGCAATCATTCCTCGAATGAGTCAACAACAATTAATAGGATCAAATCTTCGTCGATATAATGTTCGACGTAATTCAGATTTTCCATTTACATCAACACATGCATCACGTTCATCCGAATTTCTTCAAGTACCTATGTCATCATCACAACAACGTCGTACAAATAATAATCCATCACCATTAATAAAACCACCTGGTGTACGTGATATACGTGAAGCAAGTATAGATCAGATTGTATTTCGTGTTATTGATCCACCTACACCTACATTTTTATCACAACGTCCAACTGAACCTATTATAAATATAAGTTCATTTGATGATGTTATAACATCATCTGTTATTCGACCAAAGTCACTTGATATAAAAGAATCTCCTTCATCACCTACTACTCAACGACCTGCTGCTACATCTTTAACACCAGCAAATACTCCATTATTACGTGAAATAAAACCTTATACACGTTCAAAAACAGCTCCACTTTCATCTATAACCGGTGCACAACAATTTTTAACTCCTAAACGTTGCGAAGCACGTGATTTATGTGGTTCGAGTTCAAACGAAGATTCACCATCACCTACAACCGGTCGTAATAGTACTCTTGTTTAAATGTATATAGTTATAAACAATTAGAAATTAAGAAAAAGAGTATATAAATATAAATATATTATTGTCGTTTTTGTTTTTCTTATTCATCAATTGGTTCTTTATCTCGAGCATGATCTTTAAAATAATTTAATTCAGCTAATTGAAATTCTTTTGCTTTTTTAGCAAATATAGCTGATTGATGTTTTTTTTCAACAAAATCATTAATAAGTATTTTTCCATCATTTAATGGTGTTTGTGCAAATGATACTCGACCAGATGATAATCGATGAGTTTCATTATTATCTGATGATATATTTGATTGTTGATTTGATCGATGTTTTAAACATGAACGATGAATACTTGTCTGTTTTATTGGTATTGATTTTTCATTTAAATTATTTATTTTTTTCATTTGATTATGTTCTTGTTTATTTATTATTTGAGGAGAATTAACATATTTTTTAATATCTTTTGATGAATTTACGTCTTTATTATCACAATAGTTCATATAGAATAATATAATTAATATTTGAATAAATTCAATCGAATAATCAGCATGAAAACAAGAAAAAAGAAAATAAATAAATAATTGTTGCCAAGCTTGACTATTTTTTTATTTTTATCAAATAATTATAGATATTTTCGTTTATATTGATTATCAAATTCTAGCACGTTCATCTAATCAATCAATCAATTCTTACTATTTATAATCTTAGATAAAACTAGTTGCTCCCTATGAAATGCAACTATTATTTATTATATTAAGCTGATGTTTTCGATATATGTCTATGGCAATAAATACTTGTCTATCAATTCGCATGTGCTAGAATTATCATTCAAACATCTTCTTTCCCTTGTGAAAATATTGTTTTGTCATTTTTATATTCTACAAGTTACTATTGATTTTTTTTCTTCTATTTCCAAATGTCAATATTGTCAAGATCCTATAAAGGAATATCTTCAAAAGTATCAAATCATTTCTCGACTGAGACGACATTCATTTAATGAATAATAGAAAAATCTAGAACGATTTTGTTTTTGTTTTCGAGACACTTGAAAAGATTCTTCCATTAGTAATTAGCATGTCTAGTCATAGTGCTAACTCAACTTCATTCAATATTATGGATCTAAAACTTTCAGAATAAACTCATTGTGGAAAACATTTGATGTAGCTCTTTAACTTCCAATACAAGTGAACCAATAAGGACAAATCAGTGCTTGCGATCAGAGATTATTGCCGCATACATACATCCAAAATATCAGCTTAATACATCATAAAATATAGTAACACTTCATGAGGGACTGTTACTTTTGTTCAATACTGTAAATGTTTACAGCAAAATGATAATTATTTATCTAGCTTCTTGAAAAACTGAGTACTTACAGTCCACGACAAAAATTTAAACGAAATCAGTTTTACAATTTTTTTTTTTTCAGTATTTTGTTTTCATATTGTGAAGTACGGATATGATTCAAAGGGTGATATAGATAGTACGAGAGGCCAGCTACATGATGCATCAAAGAACGAGACTCTGTCTGTTAATATAGATTAGAAAATAATTAAAATAATATCCCTTCTTGCAAAAACAGGTTTAGTTGCTTTTCAATATTTCAGATTTGCTAACCAAGAGATTTTGTCTAAAACAAAAATAACTGATATCAACCGATAGAGAATTTCACGCTCTATCATTTCATAAAAACAGATTTTTCCCTATAGTCTATCTTCATCTCCAAAACTTGGTTTTAGTGAGAATAGTCGGCATTTTTCTTCCTTCAAAATAATGAAAAAAAGAAAAGCTAACTATGTTTCCAAAAACTTTATATCAATAAAGTGGACATGAAAAATCAGTAATATTCGAACTTCAAATATAGTATTTTGTTCAGTTTTGAATGCTCTTTCTAACAGTGTATAAAACATTCTAATGGGAGGGAGTTTGTTGGAGGTAATTTACTTTTTTTTTTTGTTGACTATTCTCACTAAAACCAAGCTTTGGAGATGAAGATAGATTGTAGGAAAAAATCTTTTCCTATGAAATGATAGAGCGTGAAATTCTCTATCGATTAATATCATTTATTTTTATTTTAGACAAAATCTCTTGGTTAATAAATCTGAAATATTGAAAAGCAACTAAACCTGTTTTTGCAAGGAGGGATATTATTTTAATTATTTTCTAATCTATATTAACAGACAGAGTCTCGTTCTTTGATGCATGATGTAGCTGGCCTCTCGTACTATCTATATCACCCTTTGAATCATATCCGTACTTCACAATATGAAAACAAAATACTGAAAAAAAGAATTGTAAAAAAATACTGAAAAACTGATTTCGTTTAAATTTTTGTCGCGGACTGTATTTCTGAGAAAATCTAATGATTTTAGCGATTTTCAACTTGAAACTTTGCTCATATCAAGATGTTAATTAGTCTAGTTTGTATTAAAAAAAATTCAAAATTTTCTCCAAGATAAGCAACTTTCGAAAAATACATGCTGTATATACTATCTATGGAAAAGCGTCTATACCTTAAAAATTGAACATCTTGAAGAGACTTATTTGAAAAATTCTGAATTTTTTCATAACAAACTAATCTAACTGATACCTTTATGTGGTCAACATTCCAGGTCGAAATTCACTAACAAACGTTCAATCCTCTCAACAACAAGGCATGAATAATAATAAATATTCTTCGCTAAGATCTACAAGATGCACAAAATAAAGCATCGAAATGTATAGATACATCATCGGAAGAATAGCGACTAAAGTTCATCAACCGATAATTTTATAAATGAATTACTCGAAAAAAAAAATAAAAGATCATTTTGCTTAGCAAAACTTCGATAAAATTGTCGAAATTCATTTAAACTCTAAGACAAATAAATCATATTAACTAAAAATATATTGCTCGTTTTTTATAATCTATTATGATGTAGACGATAGTAAATGCTTGAAATTATATTGAAAAAGCTGAAATCAATATCTAAGTCAACAACTATAACTATCAGAACAAAAAATAAACATCATGTTATTTTATTTAAACTTGTTCAAGTTCAATTAAAATTCCACAACAATCTTTTGGATGAAGAAATATAACTGGTTTTCCATGTGCACCAATTCGAGTTTTTTCACTAAGTGTACGAATATGTTTTTGTTTAATATCTTTAATTGCTTCTTCAATATTATCGACCTAAATTAAAAGTAATTAAATAAAAAATAAATAAAACAAAATTTAATAATAAAATACTTCAATACAAATATGATGAATTCCACCTGATTTATTTTTTTCTAAAAAATTTTTTATTGGACTTTTATCACCAAGTGGAAGTAAAAGCTAAATTAGAAAAAACAAAATTCTGTTTTTTTTTATATTTATTTTAACATTATCAATTTACTTCAATTTTTGTATTACCAAAATCAACAAAAGTTGTATAAACACCATGTTCTTTTTGTGGCATAGGTTGACTTACAGAGTTTGCATGAAGAGTATTTTTGAAAAAATGACTGCTTTTCTCTAAAATATACAAGTAATCAGAATAAAAAACAAAAAAAAAACAAATTATTTCTATTACCTAAATCAGGAACAGCTACAGCAATATGATTAATTTTACCAAGGTTCCATTTATCATTAGGTACATTTGTTTCAATCTAACATACATCAAAAAAATCAATATAGACTTTATAATAAATATTTATATTACAGGTGATTTATTAGCATCACTTGAACTCAAACGAATACCATTTAATAATCTTGGATGAATTGTTCGAATGACAATCTATAGATAAATATGTTATTTTGAATAATAAATATTTATTTTTACTTGTCGAAAATTGCTAAGCATGACTTCTTCTATATCGCCAAAGAAAAATCAGAAACAAAAAAAAACAAACAATCGTTGTGTTTTTGATTACGCACGTGTTATGTTATGTTGTTTTCTTTCCTTTCAACCCTTGTCAGATGTTTAAGGTACAACTATGGCGACTTTTCTTTCTCTTCTCTAATCGATCGTCAAAATATACCGAGGACCGACTCTTTCATGCCTATTTTTCTCGTTTTTTTATTTAACATACAATGTGTGGTATTTTAATATAAAAATAAAAAAACATCTAACAAAAAATAGACTATGCATCAATATGGCATTGGTGTATATAATCCGCATGAAAAAATATGGATGGACAGAAATAAACCAATAAATTGCGTGATCTCGATACATAAAATATTTTTGTTAAACATATATTTATAAAAGAAAAAAGGTATTTTATAAATGTATTGTTAGTATATTAAAGTCGTTTGATTAAACAAAATCATTTTAAATAAAAATTGATCAGTTAGAAGTAACTTTTTATAATACATCAGATAATTATGACAAACTTGAGTACAAAGATACCCGTAACGTGAAGATATTCACTTTATTATTGACTTCTTTATACTACAATACTATCTAGTCTATCTACGTACACATGTTTATATCTATATCAATGATGAAGAGGAGAAAAGGCAATCAAGTGCATTGTTCATGAGAGAAGAGAAGAGTCATATATATACAGTTTATGATTATCATTAAAAAAGAGTTTGTTTTTCATATACTTGTTCGATAGTTTATCAAAGTTTTTATCATCGTATTCTTTTTCTATAGAGACATTCAAGTTTATACAAACAGAAAGGACAGAATAAACAAGAAGATCGAGTTAGTCGATCCAGTATAATATACCATATGCTCGTTTTTCAAACATCGGATTAGTTTTTGCGGTATGTGTAAAAAAAACTTGGCGATGAACCGCTTACAATGACCAGTAAGTTGCGCATAGAAACAAAAAAATCTTGCGTTGACATTGAAGAGAAACATTTTCTCATTTTTCATAGATTAAATATAGCTGATAGTCTAGTTCAGCATATAAATTATATTTGTGCTCATTCAGTAGCGAAACAAACATAGATGTCGCTGTAAAGCTGTATTTTTTTTGATATCGTTATTCACATAGTTCTTGAGTCATATTTAAGACACTAAAAACTTGATAGTCAAAATGATATTTATCTTTAATGTATCTTGCTTTCTGAGTAGACAGGAGCTAGTTATGACCAATAAAACATCCGAAAGGAGCTCTAAACTGGATTTAGATTAAGAAGACATTTTCAATCCTATGTTGATGTTTCAGGCGGATACAGTATGCTGTCATCAAGTCAAACTATGAAAAAAATGTGGATATTCAAAAACTTTTCGAAAAAAATTGTAATTTCTTTAAATTCGGTATCAAGTAGAAGTGGCCAGTTTTCTCCGAAAAATTTACCGGTAACTGCAGTTAATCAACAAATGCCGGTGTTTTTCATCGCATGTGCTTGAAGCATGTACATCAATTTTCTTACTATTCAAAGAATTATCTATTGTAGAGAAATGAGAGGCAGTTGTTTGATTGATAGATTCATTTACTTGAAGATTTTCTTGACAATCATCTGCTGCATAGAGCACATTCACTATGACACATCTATTAGCATTGCTATAATATCATCTTCTATCGCTATGATAATCATTTCTTGTTGTCAGTTGAAGAAGAACAAATTGCATGATTACTGTCAAAAAATACAAGAACAAATGTTTGTCTTTCTTTTGTTGTTGTGCATATCAATCAAATTGAATCAATACTATCATCGTTTTTATTTCATACGATATTTTGTTTATTTCAGTGTCACTATTAATAAAATTATATACATCAGTTCCATTCATAGTTTTACATTTAAATACATATTTGATATTTATTATTTTTAACAGACTTATATTAACTGTTCTATCGGACAATATCTACATTTAAATCAACTATTGTTTTCTTAGCTCTAAAAAAATCTGCTCATGTAATAATTAAAAGGAAATAAATTATGTTTAATCTGTTTAACTGTATTTCTTTTATTCAACAATTGCGAATACTTTATTACATAAAACTTTTGTAACTTCATTTGTTTTCTTCCTCCAATAGAAATAATCGATGAATCATTGATTGATGGTCAACAACAAAAGTATGACATGTGATTGTCACTTTCAGGAAATTTTATGATGACAAGTCTTTATAAGATTGAAAATCTTGAAAATCTTTTACAATGTACAATTTGTCTTGAACGCTTTCAAATACCAAAAGTTCTTGAATGTCAACATACTTTTTGCTTAGAATGTTTACAAAGTAGTTTTTTTTTTTTTATTAAATTTTATTCTGAAAATCTTTCTATATATTTTTTTTTTCAATTAGACATTTATGATTTACAAAATCAAACATTAACATGGTTTGTTAATAATTCCTTATTTTCTTTTTCTTTTATTCATCTTTTTCTTTCTCTAAAGTCCAACATGTCAACGAAATATGAAATTAACTGAAAATCTTAATGAATTACCTAATAATATTTTAATAATAAATTTAATGGATATTCAACCAATAAAGGCTAAATGTTCATCATGTCAAAAAATAGAAATTTTAACATTATGTGAATATTGTAATTCACCAAAATGTACAAATTGTAATGAAAAACATGTTGATGATATGCGACAATCGATTAAAACAACATTGGAAGAATTAGAAAATACAAATCAAAATGAATTAAAAAGTTAATTAAGAAAATTTGTTTTTGATAGTTTTTAGAACTTTTTTTGTTTTTTGGTTTTAGTTTCTATTCATAATTCTTTTAAAGTTATACGAAATGAAATAAATAATCAATTTCAAAATATTCGTCAACAACATGATTCACATTTACTAAAAAAACAAATCGATATACTTAAAAAACTTGAATCCTATGAACAAAATTTATTAACGTAAGAATATGAAAAACTTTTCAATTGACAAAGAAAAATAACAAAAGATAAAAAAAAAATTTTTCTTACTTTTATTTCGATTTAGATAAATAAATAAATAAATAAAATATAGATCTTTATTCAACATCAATTTGATTAAATATATTTTAGACAAATAGAACATGATCTTCGATTTCTCGAACAATCTAAACTTGAAATAATTCGAAATAATGTTCATATTAATAGGTTCATTATTTCCTAATTATTTATTTAATTTCATAAAAATAAAAATATTTTCTTTTAGGAAAACTGAATCTGAATTAATCAATTTATTAACAATAGCATCTGATGTTCAATACCATTTGACAGAAAAAATTACTCAATATGTGTCTTATATAAATGTAAGCTTCACAACCAAGACAACAATTCAATAGGTTGTTTTTTGTTATTTAATTCCAGTCACTTGAATTATCTTTACAATATGATCAAAGTCAAACGAATGAAATTAATCAATTATGTGATAGTTTTCAATTGAATATCTCTGATGAAGATGAAAATTCAAAGTTAGTTCTTTTATCTTTTTATAATTTCTAAATCTTTTTATTTTATTTTTTTTTTTAAGATTAATCTATATAACTTTACGAACATTTCTAAATCAAGAATATAAATTGCATATAAAACTAGATAAAACAATTAATGAATTAAAAGAAATATTTGGTAAACAAGAAAATATTGATCCAAATAAACTAATAATAACAAAAATTGATAATTATTTTGATGAACTTGATAATAATCGTACATTAAAATCTTATAACTGTGATTCAACAAGTATTCTTATGATATATCTTCGAAAATAATTTCTTTTTTTTTCTAATATTTATTTTCCTGAGTAAAAGACAAGAATAAAAACAAAAAAAAAAGAGAACATAGACATTTAAACAGCTTCTTCAGTTTTATTATTATTATTATTTATAGGTGTTCCACTTGATATTGATATTCTTGTTAGATTTGGTGTAAAAGAATCTTTTCTTAAATGTATTAAATTATGTTCATTATGATTTTTTATTTTTGAACGTTGACGACGATATGCTATTAAACGATTATAATATTTTTTATTTTTATTCTTTGATCTTAATTGATTTTGTCTATGTCGTTGAAAATAAATTAATAATATTAATAAAGACATTAGAAATAATATTATTGATAATAAAAGAATTAATAAGAACATTAAAAAAAAATGATGTTGAAATAAATTAATTATATTAGCAGATAAAGATGAAGATTTTGTTAGATAAGAAGAATTCTTTGCAATATGAGAAATATTTGTTAATGATGTTGATTGATTATTATCAATCAGAGGCATATATTCATTTAATGATTGAGAATTACAATCATCAGATACAAAACATAATAATGATGAAACATAATGAGGTGAATATGTTCGAAAACGATGACTTGGTGGACCAGGAATAACAGGTGGTGGTGGTGGAAAATAACTTAGATAAGCAATTATAACTGACAGATTAGCTGACATATGGATCCCATGTAATATGTCATAAGGTAATGAAGAACGTGATTGATACATATTGATGAATAATCTTTTTTCTTTTTTTTTGTTATAAATGAACAAGAAAAATTTCTATTATTTCGATATCAATCATTATCTATTAGCTTTGAAGAAAAGGGAATAGAGAAATATAAATCAAAATGCGCATTTATCAATAGTCTGTTCCAGTACGATGGTTGACTTGCATTTATATATATGTCTGTGTGTGTGTGTGTGTTGGAGAGAGAAACACACATACGATCCATAGTCCCATCACAGAGGAACAACGAGGGAAAAGAAAGAGAGAGAATGTTGAGTTTCTTGTTCTTTCTTTTTTCATTTGTCATTATAATCTCATATATCAACATCGTCAATTGAAGATTGGCAGCCAAATGGTTGTCTCATTCTGCGTACGCATTCGACAGATTTCATCTAGTGTTTCTTTTTTTTTCTTCTCTTTTCTTTTTCTATTATTTTCTGACACGGTCAAGAATTTTTCTTATTATACAAAACAGATTAATTTACAAAAAAAAAAAAAAGAAAATTTTATTCGTCTTCTATTGATGAAAAATCTTGCATTTGAATTATATTTCCTAATCCTGTTTTCATTTTTTGTTTTAATGGACCTGCATAATAAACAGTACCAATACCACTTAATGTTATATTGATTTCATCTGTTGCTGTTACATAAATATTTCCAATACCACTTGATATAACATTAATTTTTGTTGTGAATAAATTTTGACATTGTATATCACCAACACCTAATGCTTGTAATGTTGCTTCATAATTAACTTGTCCACATAATTTAACACGACCAATTGAATGAAGATAAGCATCAAGTGTATTAACATTTAATTTTAATTTAGTTAAACCATTTGCACGATTATATAAACGAAATTTATCTGTTTGAATTTTATTTAAACATTGTATATTAATTATACCATCAATATTAAGTTCAATTAATTCATTATAATTTATTGTTATTGTTATATTTGTTTTATTAATAAGATTTGAATTATCAATCATACGAATAAAAAGTATATCATTTTGTATAATATCAACTAATATTAACGGATGTATTGATTCAGTAGCTTCAATATCAACATATGATGAATTATCAATTGAATCTAAAATCCGATTAAGTTTAACATTAAATGGACCACCTGAAAGATTGATTTTTCGAAATGAATTTGTTGTAAATGAATGAATTTTATGTGTAGTTGAAGTAGATGAACGAGAAGAAGAAGGTGATGGTAAATCTGGCATAAAAAAATTATAATTTCTTTGTTGTCCATTAATTAATTGAAATAAGAAAAAAATGTTAACAATAAAGTAAATCATTTTGCTTGAGATTTTCATATTATGAATATATGAACATACACAAAAGATGAATGTATAAAGATTAGAAGAGAAGATTATGACAATACAGTTTACATCATCTTTTCTCTTCTTCTCTTTTTTTTTGTTCTTCGTTCTTTACATACGAACAAATAATTCATCGAATTACAAAAATATTTGAACACATGTTAACCTCGAAAACGAATAAAATATATATCACTAAGTAACATATATTTAATTTAGTTTTTTTCTTTTTTTTTTAAATATAAAAATGAAAATAAGTCTTATTTATTAATGCTTTCTAAGCTTGATAATCTTGGTTTTTGTACTCTCGATTGAATTAATCGAACAGAGTAATAGGATGATAAACAATAAATAAATCTATCTATTGTTTGCCGTTATGTTACATATTATTGACAAAGTTAATCAACAGTATTACTTAAATGAACATCTCTCTCTCTCTAATTTATTTCTGTTTATATGAAATGAAACAAGTAAAACAAAACAAACAAAAACGAAATTGGTTCGATGTGATTTATGAAATAAATTCAATGACAAAAATTCGAAACACCTGCATGATAGATAAAAGAACAAAAGTCTTTTTCTTTTTTCTTTTTTTTTCTTAAACATAATCTTTATTGTCCATGAGAATTCATTTCAATGATATTTACACATTTATCAAACATCTTCAGGGTTTATTTATTTTATTGTCTAGGATTTTTTGTTATAATACGCATTTATTTTATTAAACGAAAAAGATTTAATGAATTAAATATTTTTATAGGATGAAAGTCTAGATCACGTATTCTAAATATGTGATTAGACATCAATGTTAAGCTTAAATGAATAAAAAAAGAAGAATTATTTTAATATAAAGTATAACAATATGATCGATCTATGACATATTTACCTAAGAATAATAAAAAGATTGATGTTATTAATGCAAACAAGCTATTTCATATAGTTGGTTCTTTCGGTGAAAAAAAAAGAAATTTTGTTCTTGATTTTCAAGGTTCATCGCATACTCGAACTAGTTTTGTGTTTCAATAGCCTATTGAAACATCATAGGAGACAACTTTAGAAGACAGACATTATAGTAAAAACAAATGACTTTTTAAGCCCTGTTCAACTGAGTATAAAGTCACTTTCCGTTAATTTTACTTAAAAAAATCAGCAGTGGACTATTAGACCAGTCGATTAGGACATTGTTCCCATTTATAGAGAAATGCTTCACCTCACATAAAGTCATCTATATATCAAGGAGAAATGGAAAGAACGAATATAAATATATGGACAT